CTTTGCTTATCCACAAGAAGCAACTCCTCATCTGTTCAAGTTTTATGATGAAATTGTGACTCTTGAGTGATAAGGTGCATTGCCAATGTACTATTTTGAAAGCAATCTTTTTTCTGAACCGTAGGTCTCAATGATGGGCTTAAAATATTTAGTAAACCATGCTGTGAACAGTTGTTGTCATCCAGGCTGTGTTGTTCCATTTATAGAGCACAGAGTAGATTTGGCATCACTCTGAAGGGCCCTAGGATTTTCAGAATGGTAACTGAGCATTGGCTTCACCTTAAAGTCACCAGCTACATTGCCCCTAACGAGACAGTCAGCCTGTTTTTTTTTAAGCTTTGAAACCAGGTATTGACGACTTCTCCCTAGCTATGAAAGTCCTACATGCATCATCTTCCGGTAGAATGCTGTTTCACCTACATTAAAAATCTGAAGTCCAGTGTAGCCATCTCCATCAATTTCCTTAGCTAGAACTTCTGGATACCTTGCTGCAACTCCTACATCAGCACTCGCTGCTTCAGCTCGCACTTGTGTATTATGGAGACACCTTCTTTCCTTAAACCTTGTGAACTACCCTCTGCTAGCCTCAGACTTTTCTTCTGCAGCTTCCTCACCTCTCACAGCCTTCGCAGAATTGAAGAGAGTTAGAGCCTTGCTCTCGGCTGGGCTTTGGCTTAAGGGAACGTTGTGGCTGATTTGATCTTCTATCCAGACCACTCAAACTTTTTCCGTATTAGCAATGACTGTTTGGCTTTCTTGTCATTTGTGTGTTCACTGGAGTAGTACTTTTAATTTCCTTCAAGAACTTTTTCTTTGCATTCACAACTTGGCCGTTTGGCACAAGAGGCCTACCTTTCGGCTCATCTCAGTTTTTAGCACGCTTTCTTTACCAAGCTTAATCATTTCTAGCTTTTGATTTAAAGTGAGAGATGTGAGACTTTTCCTTTCACTTGAACACTTAGAGGCCATTGTAGGGTTATTAACTGGCCTAATTCCAATATTGTTGTGTGTCGGGGCATGGGGAGGCCTGAGGAGAGAAAGAGGGACGGGAACGGCGGGTTGGTGGAGCAGTCAGATCACACACATCTACAGATTAGGTTCACCAACTTACAGGGGTGCGGATCATGGTGCTCCAAGCCTATTGCAATAGCAACGTCAAAGATCACAGATCACTATAACAGGTATAATAATAATAATGAAAAAGTGTGACGTATTGTGAGAATTAAAATGTAACACAGAGACACTAAGTTGAGCATGCACTTGTTTCACACACGGTTGCCACAAACCTTCAATGTGTAAAAAACGCAGTATCTGTGAAGTGCAATAAGATAAGGTATGCCTGCATTTGCCCTTTTTCCTAACCCCTCTCCCCTCTTCTCAACACTAGCCCGAGCCTAGAAGAGGGTGGTACAGGACTTGTCCCTGAGGCAGGCCACTATGTGGGCTGTGGAGGGTGCAGCCAGGGTGGGCTTAGGGACAGAACATGCCTGGTCCTCCAGACAGGGCCCTCCAGAACCCAGTTGATCCTAAGGCCCAGTTGAAGCAATGATTGGAGAGAAATAAGATAATTTCATATTGTAAATGGATTTCATCAGGATGTTTTGTAGGAGATGGTAGAAAAAAAGATGGTAGTCAATGCCCTCACTCTTGCTAGCTGGGCTGCTGAGTGGGCAGAGGCTCTGCCAGTGGGAAGGACAGGCTTTCCCCAACACAGTCCTCAGTCTGCATCTCTCTGTGCCACCAGGCTGGGGCCACTGAGGCTACAGACCTTGCATCACAGGACTCTTCGTTTGCATGCACATGCTCAAGTGCACACATTTTCCCAAAGTTACACACACAGTACCCATGTGGCAAAGTCTGGAGAAATTTCCAGCCTCAGTGGCTCCCACTCCCAGGAGCTACCTTGTAGAGGTCAGCTCACCAGCACAGACTCCTCTTCTCTCAGGGCTGTGCTTCCCCTGGGTGGCCCTTGGTGCTTTTTTCTGCCGTCTAACCTCACCTGAGGCCATTTCAATTTGTCAGGGAAGTTTTCAGAATGAGCAAAAGCAAAAGAGGAAGGATGAGGTCTTGATGGCTTACTCCCCGGTAGCTGCTCCTCTCCGCAAAGTGCCCCACCCTCCCCTGCTGCTGTAGGCATCACAGATCAAGGATGGCACGGGGTAGGCTATGTCCAGCCCCCTCCTTCACCAAAACGTCTTCAGACACTCATCCCTTGGAATGGTGACCTTTTCTCACCTTACACGTGCTTCACTTAGCCTACTCACATGTTCACCCCAGAATAAAGGACATTTGAGCATTCCACTTCTAGAAATGGAAATGGCTGGCAACTTTTAAATGGCAGTTTCTTCAGCGGCAGCAAAATCCTGCTGTAGCTGCTACTACTATGATGCAAGATTATCACTGAGTCAGTCACTCTGTCCTCCAGGCTCTCAGAAATGTTCACAGATACCTCTAGTCCTTGCTCTGCACAGGGCACTGTGATTATGCATATGCCTTTCTCTACCCCTCCGCCCTCAACAGGGCCTGGACTTGGAGGTCTCAAGGGCACGGGCATTAATATCCTTCTTTATGTTTCCAACCTGGTATGGCACATGGTAGGTCCTGAGGGGTGCTTGCCATATTGAATTCCATGATGGGAGACACATAGATATTTTTCCAAATTTTATTTATGAAGTCACTATACACCACATGTATTGATCAGCTTTTGTGCTTCCTGACAAACAACCCCTCAAACTCAGTGGCCTATCACGGTAAACATGGATTTCTTATTCCTGTTGCATGTGGCTGTGGCCCTGGCCCCACGCCCTGTGTCATCTTGCTCACCAGGGCTCCTGGGCTGAGGGACAGGAGCAGGGATGGGCCTTCTTGTGTCGGAGCAAGAGGCTCTGCCTGGATGAGGCAGACATCACTGCTCACACTCCAGCAACAAGCCAGTGGTGGTTGGGGCTGCGGTGTGTGGCCTGCAAGGTACACTAGCTAGTCACACTTGCAAATCACACCGGAAGGGCAGGTGTGTGTAATTGTATAGGGGAAGAAGTGAAAAGTTCTGAACAAAACACATTGGAAAAAACACGATCTACCACACCACAGGATAACAAAACAATCATTTGTTTTTTATTTTTTAACAATATAGTTACAGCATTGATTTATTTTCCAATTCATAATTTTTAAAACCAATATTTACATTTCATCATTATCAAAACGAAATCTTATCCATTCATTAAGATAATACAAATATCTGACGGTGAAGCTTCCGCTTTGCCCCCACTTCTGTCTGGAACATTCTCTAGTCATGTTGCAAGAAAGTAGAACCATAGTAACTTCTAGCTCCCAAGTTGCCTGGTTTGGGAAGCCCAGTGTTTCTTGCTTGCATCAAATCTAAACATTGTTAGCTTAGCTCACCTAAGAGGTGAGCTTACTTTGTTTAATTCAGTGAGCTTCTCCTACTTCCTTTCTTTACAAATAGGGTTTAAAAGCTTTGATTAGGAGCCAACTTGATTTAGGAGTTCCCACTGGCCAAATAGTAGAAAATTTGAGCATTAACAAAGGACATCTGCAAAGCACTGAAGCACTCAGATATGATTAAATCCATGACTACATAATAGTACCAAAAAACAAAAAAAAAGGCTTTTGGCAGCCAGCCTGAGATGCGAGCTGTGTGCTGTGATCCAAATGACATCATTACTTTAGACACTGCCTCGCTAGAGGCCAGGATGCCCACAGATCACAGGCCTTCAATCCCCTGTCAATTAACAACTGTTTGGGTTGACTCAGCAGTCCCCCAAACATGCTACATGCTCCAAACTTTTCAGTTCAATGCCAGAATTACTTCTAGGACTAATACAGTATTTTCAGGCTTGGCATGATAGTAACTCTTAAAATAATACTTTAGCACATTTGCAAGTTGCAGTTTCCAGCTTTATTTTATTTTATTTACTGTTTTAAAAATATGTCTGAACCCTATGCTTATATTCAAAGATAACGTGCTGGAAGGTAGTTTGGAAAATATTTTTTCCAATCCATCTAAAGTCTTCCTCATTTAGGGCTCCCTGCCTCGTAATTTAGATACTGAGATTCACAGGCCAGATGTGTGATTTCCGAAGCAGGAGCCCGTCACTATTGTTTGAGGCTCCTTCTCTGTCCTGAGTACTCACTTCAGGGCTCCCACCCATTGATTTTCCTCTCCCACAACCCCCAAGGACTTCTCATTATGCAGTTTCCACCATATGCTCCCCAGGTGTCTGGGACCTCCACACACCGGTGTTTCCTTTGCCAGGAGGTCTGTGATAAAGGCCTTGGGGAAACAGACAGGGGCTAGGGGAGCAGGAAGGCAGGAGCAGCAGCAACACAACAAACCCGTTCAGACCAGACAGGAGGCTTTGCAGGGTTCTGACACATCCCTCCTGGGCTCCCCTCTTAGCTGATTCTGGAGGCACACTTGCAGGGGGTCCACGGTGTCCTGTCCTCTGCTCCTATAGAGGAGCTCACTGTCTTCCGCCCCTTCTCATAATCACCACCTCCAACCTCCCCTTTTCCCTGGAAAGATCAAACACAGGCTTACATATATATTTAGCTCATCATAGATGATGCATATTTCATAAACAAAGATTTTCTAAATTCTCATATGGGGGATTTGGTCTGAGAAGCACGTGAACAACGGGGCTTGCTGGTTAACAGATTTCAAAGGTAAGGTGTGTGGTTGTCATAGACAAACCATCATAAAGCAAAAATGTGCCATGCGCTTATGCAGAAGTGGATCACCAGGCCCAACCAAAGCTTGCAGAAGGTTGTTACAGTTCTCAAAGTCTCCATGACCTGGTGAAGTCTTCAGAGGTAAGCACAGGTGGGAGATGGGGCCAGCACCACTTCCTGGCTCAATAAACGAGTGCCTCACCCACCTTCATCTATGTCAGGGCTCAGCCTCCTTCTCCTCCTGGCCCTGCCCCTCCCCCTCCCTTCCTTCCTCCTGTCCATGCTGTGCCGGCCAGTTGTCCGCAGCGCCAGCTGGGCCCTTGATTATGAGGCTGATGGAATCAGAGACTGAGTGAAGAAACGGTGAAGACTCGAAAAAGAGCCTTAGCACAAGGCAGTGGCATTTTCCAGGAATGGAGATGAGCATGCTGGAGAGTCCAAGTCTCTATCCACAGTTGATCTGGAATATTCCCTGAGCATAGGTTGGATACACAAGAAGTGATGTAAGCCTGTCTTGGTACACACAGCCTTGAGGTTCCTGGGTAACCACTTTACAGGTCTCTATTGTTTAACAAACCCTTGAGGCTTGTTATTATATACAGATTGTGATCTCCCTTTAAAAACGACAAGTAAACTGCTACTCATTTTACAAACCAGCCGAGACTTCCTGCTCCCCAGTGGAAGGGGTGTATGTTGAGGTCACTCGATCCGCTGTCTCCCCGTAGAAAACTGGGCATTGTTTGCACAGATGTTTGGCGATGTACTTTCGGAAGAACACCGAGAGATACCTTCTGAACTTCTCCCCGACGAAGGCGTAGATGACAGGGTTGATGCAGCAGTGTGTCATCCCGAGCGTCTCGGTCACCTGCATGGCTTGGTCCAGTCGACTGGTGCTCTCACAGGTGCTCAGGCCAAAGAAGCCCTGGAAGGTGCTCAGAAGAATGACGATGTTGTAGGGGGTCCAGAAGAGGAAGTACACAATCATGATGGCGAAGATGAGCCTCACAGCCTTGTGCCTCTTCTTCTCGTTTCGACACCGAAGCAGGGTTTTCAGGATTCCCGAGTAGCAGATGACCATGACAAGCAGTGGTAGGAACAGACCCAAGATGTTCCTCATTATTGTATGGAAATTCTTCCACATTAGTGGAAAATAAGGGCCACAGAAGTAAACAGAATCATCTTCATGGGATTTAGTAAAAATGATTCCTGGGACAGAGGCTAACACAGCCACCATCCAGGTGACCCCACTTGTCACCACCCCAAAGGTGACTGTCCTGGCTTTTAAAGCAAACACAGCATGGACGATAGCCAGGTACCTATCGATTGTCAGGAGGATGATGAAGAAGATTCCACCAAAATAGCCGATGTGATACAGCCCTGCAAATAACTTACACATTGCATTCCCCAAGACCCACCCGTTGGCAGCATAGTGGGCCCAGAATGGGATGGTGAGCAGGAACAACAGGTCAGAGATGGCCAGGTTGAGCAGGTAGATGTCAGTCATGCTCTTGAGCTTTTTGCAGTTTATCAGGATGAGGACGACCAGCATGTTGCCCACAAGCCCGAAGATGAACACCAATGAGTAGAGTGGGGGCAGGAGCTGGGCCCCAATTTGCTTCACGTCCAATTTGTTACAGGGTGCGCCATAATCGTAGTCATAAACGGTGGTGGCTTCTTCACTGTTCATGTTGATGTCTCTTGGAAACAGAGAATGATATGTGGACGACATGCTGTGGATTAACTGAGGAGACGTGTCCTTGTCATCCATTTTCCTCTGTTCTGTAAACAGAGAACGATATGATTGTCACACAGCATAAACGCCACGATCCCCAATCTTCAAAATAGTCTTGCTCCACCTAAACATGTGCTAGTTCCTTACTTCCCTTTCGTCCCTAGCAGCAGACACCAGTCATCTACCCAGCAGCCATTTCCCAATACCTTTTGTCTTCCAGGCGGGCCCGATTCTCATTATAAGACTAGAAATGCCAGATGCCCACTTTCTCTACCTGCTCTGCAGCTGGTGCATGGGTCTGTGGCTTGTCCCTGGACAATCATATGTGAGGGGCGTGTGCCAGGGGCTTCTGAGAAGGCCCTTTTTCCCTGAGTAGAGAGACACAGGGGAACCCCCACCTGCCCCTTCTGCTTTCACAGCCTGTCTTGGGAGGCGTGGTGCTTGTTAGGTTTGCTCAGGGTGGGAACCCGAACAGTATGTATAGGATGAAATGCAGTTAATGGAAAACTTAGACAGTGATCATGAGGCCTGTGAAACAATAGCCGCAGGAGTCTGGGGAGTCCAGAGGTTGTAAATCTAACTCTGCGCACAGATGGTTGCGGCGATGCCGGCATTTCTTTCCCCGCTTATAAGGATGAAACTACCCCCCCATCTCTGCAGGATGAGACTGAAGCAGGGGTCCCAGAAACTGGGTGTTTGAAAATAATTTATTATAGCGGCTGTTCTGGTCCAGTTGCTGACTCCCCCCGGAAAAAGCCCTCTATAAAACCCAAGGCTTTCCCTCCCTCGGGGTGGACGCTCTTTAGTCCTCCATCCATCTGCACCCAGATGCTCAAAATAAACAGCATTTTGCTACCTGAGGGTTTGTGTGTCTCCCTCTGGGCTCCAGACCTAACAGTGCTTGGGAGCAGGATGGAAGATCCAGAGAGCCAGAGAGAAGCCAGCAGAGTCCCCGTGCCACTGTGTCTCAAGCCAACAGCTCGTCTTATGACTTCTCGTTATTTGAGAAAAATAAGCCCCTGCTTTTAAGCCATTATAAACTGCATTTTCTGTTACCTGGAACCCAGAGCGTTCTAACTGTAAACGCTCTCAATTCTGCCTCCGTCATCCTGCCTAAACTCCTCTTGCCATGGTCACAATGACAACCTAGCTTTCAAACACCCTGGCTTTGTTCCAGTTTCATCCTCATTGAATGTGTGATCCTTCTGCTAACTTCCTCCACTTAAAACTCTGTTTACTTCCAGGAGGGAGTCCTGTCTGATCACTTCTTATTAATGTCCTTCATTGCCATCTTCTTCTCCTGTCCATGCCCCACAATTCCCCAGCCACCACACTTGGCTCTCACCTTTTTTATCCTTTGCCTCTTCAATCTTGCAAAGTTTCTCCTGGATCTGGTTGTCTGATCTCAGGGTTCTAACTCCCTGAGGTGCTAATGCTTCCCTTTCATTCCTGTCCTCAAGTTCTACCTTTCTCCTAAGCCCCAGAGTTGAGTTTTCGATTGGCTACTGCATATCTCTCCACGGATTTATTCACTTAACCAATGTTTGCTGAGCACCTACTAGGAGCCAGACTCAGGCACCAATGACACAGCAGTGAGGAAAGTGGGTGTCCTGCAGCTCCCTCAAATTCAACCCACCCCAAACTGAGCACCCCCTGGCACCTGCTCCAGATCATGGGCTCCTTATCTTGGTTATTGTCACTTACTCCACTGCCTAAGAAGCTGATTTGGCATCATCCTGGGTCCCTTCATCTTCAGAAAAGTAGGAGCCAACCTTTGGAGCCAAACAGACCTGGATTTGAGTCCTGCCTCCAACTTACAGGCTGTGTAATTCGGGGCCAATTACTTCTTCACATATGTTTCTTTATGTGTAAAATATTAACTACGCTGAGTTGCTGTGAAGACCCACGGAGACAAGGACGTGGCACAGCGCCTGGTGCAGAGAACTGCTCTGTGTCCTTATGATGTCATGTGAGCTCTACCTCAAACTCAGCTCCATCCCTTCTGCTCCTCTTTCAACCACCACTTTCTCGCCGCCTACGCTCCCCACTTCTGCCTTCGTTGTGGTCTTTCCTTTGCCCACTGTTTGTCCCTGGCCAGGGTCTCCCTCAATCAGTCTTCTTTTAAATTGAAATTGGATCACGCACTTCTCAGCTTAAAATCTCCGGTAGCCCCATGGCATATATGTGGTGGGACCTCAGAGATTATGTCCAGACTGCTTGGCAGGCCTTTCCCAAGCTCACTGCTTCTCAGCCTCCTCTCCAGGCACTCCTCCAATCCCCAGTCCTGCTTCAGCCACAGCCCTCTTCTCTCCACCTCCCCAAACTCTCCATTTCCTTCATGTGGTTCTGCATATCTCTGTCCCTCTGCCTGAAATGGTCAGTGAGCTCCTATTCATCCTTCATTACCTCCTGCTCAGATTCCCCTTCTCCGTGAAGCCTAATTTGCATTCTCTGTCAAATTGCTCTTACCTCACAACACTGCATGCATTTCAATAAATCATCATGTTATCGTCTACACACTGCATGCTCCCCCAGGTCAAGGACTGGATTGTGTTTCTGTCTCCACCTCTTACCCGACTAAAGGAGGCACCAATAAATGCTCACTGAATGAGCACATGAAACTCTTTCTGATAATAAGAATTATAAGACCTAGCATCATTAGGGCTTGATTCCCAAGAATTTTTTTGCTGATAGTGATTGAATTTGTTTTCATCCATCTAAACACCTTACCCTTCCATTTGTCTCGTAATTGACACATTTCACAGGTCTTACATTTTGTATCACTGAGCCAGATTTTTTAAATCTGCAGAAATTAAATAAGACCTCTGGTCAAGATTGGGGGAAAAAATGCGTCCACCTAAAGAGTTACAACTGTGGTCATTAACTGAGTGCTCCCGAAGCCCCAGGTGCTATGTGAAATACTGTGCGCACATGAATTTAATTTTGATGACTAGCTAGCAACTAGTTCCGACTGCAGTAAACAATCAGCAAGGTGGCTGAAATGTGCTGACCTAGGTATCATTTCAGGTGTCAGGACATACAGTCCAGAACTGGTAGAAAGCTGCCTCTCAGAAAAATAAATTCCTCACTTCTGCCTCTGTGGACCCTCTGAGTTGAGGTAAGAGGTGCATTTTAGTCCAGGGCCTGGATGGCGCTATATATGGATCAGAGGGGGAAAATTTTCTAGGTAGAAAGTACCAGCTCTTTAAAGTCCTTGGGTGCTCAGAGGAGCAAAGTGAGTCCTCAGGTGTCTGGAGGGTAAGTGAGCAGAGTGGCTGTTCTTACGTTATGTGCTGCCCACTCTCTCCTGTCACCTGAGCCCTGGGGGGACTCCCACCTGCTGCACCTGCACCTCCTCCCTCTCCTCGGGGTCTCTCTGACATCTCCTGGTACACATGCCACCCTCCCCCACTTTCTCCCTTCCTGATCATTTCCCCCGAGGGCATGGGCTTTGCAGCCCCTCAGGCTGTGCCCTGTGAATGCATTTCCAGCTGTGAGAGGCTTTCAGTCTATGCATCATAAAGTAATGGAAAAAGCCCCCACCACTCACCAGTGGATGGCTTCTTCCAGGCGGCACTGGTGTGTCAGGTTTCTCAGCAACTGAACCAAACAGATCTCGAGGTAGAAACTTGGTGTGCAGAAGTAGGAAATACAGTTTCTTGCAGAAAGAGAAGGCGGAGATACAAAGGCAAGTAATGGTAAAGAGTTGAAAAAAAAAATTAGAAAAATATAGTTCTTCTTTTCCAGCCAGGAACGTTGTACACTGGGTTGAGGTCTTCAGAGTAGGATTAATTTTGAAATCTTGCTTATGCAACCTTGAGGATGAGTCAGGCAAACCCTATACATCTGCTCCTACATCTAACGGCTCTGGGCTTCTGTATCTTATGGGCATCTACATCTGGAACTCTTCTGCTCTCTGCCCTCCTACTAGTGATAATTTGCATGATACGAGCACAACAGAACTTTTCATTTTCCAGAGGGTAAATGCTAGTGGGGGCTGCTGGTGGTAGAGGAAGAAATATAATGAGGCTTTCCCGTGAGCACGTGCACTGGTTTCAGTGGTGGGTGTGGATTTAGAATCTGGTTAAAAATTTTATTTAGCTAGAACTTAAAAAAATTTTTTTTCAAAAAAAATTGTTAATCACCACATTAGTTATACATGGTTATGGGATATGATGTGATGTTTTGATACATGTATACATTTTGTAATAATCAAATCTAAGTAATTAGCATATCCATCACCTCATTTATCATTTCTCTGTGAGAACCTTGGACATCCTCTCTTCTAGCTATTTGGATCTATACAACACATTGGTAACTGTAGTCACCCTACTGTGTAATAGAGAACCAGAACTTACTCTTCCTGTCTGATAGTTACTTTGTACCCGTCGACCAACCTCTCCCCATCTTCTTCTCCCCCCTTCTCTTCTCAATCTCTAGTAACCACTGTTCTACTTTCTACTTCCATAAGATCAACATTTTCAGGTCCCATAGGTGAGTGAAATCATGCAGTATTTGTCTTTCTGTGCTGGCTTATTTCACTTAACACAATGTCCTCCAGATTCATTCATGCTGTTGCAAATGACAGGGTTTCAAACTTTTTAATGAAAAGGGAATGCTAAATGGTTTCTTGTGTCAGGAATGTCCTTAGCAACAAGTCCCACTCCTTGGAAAGAAGTTTTGTTAGAAGAAACACAAATTCTGCAATGTAGGCATCATACTTAAGAACATTCCTAAGGTCCTGCAGAGAATGTAGGGTCATCTGAGTTGGCCACTGGCCCTTTCTGGAATTCAGCAGACCCTGGAGTCAAGAGCTCATGCTGTGGCCTTGGCAAGTTTCTAAGCTTCCATTTCCCCAACTGTAAAATATGAATAATAAGATCTGGGGTCTGTGAGTGTTAAATGGACACAAAACAGCTAGTGCAGTGTCTGGCATGTGGCAGGCACTAGACAGGTAACAAGCAGCCTCACCTGAGTCTTGCTGAGAGCTGATGGCTGAAGAAGGCAGCCACTGCTGGAGCTAACACCAGCAAGATCCAGTGTCCAGTGCAGTCCAGGCGTCCTTTCTAGATTTCTGTAAGTTGGAACCACGTGTCCTGCACCAGACCTGGTTTTTGTGCCAAGTAAGAAGGGCCTCAGGTTTTTCCCTGGAAGACAGCTCCTTGCTTGTTCAGGAACAGGGCAAGTTCACCAATTGTCCCCTAATGTGTCTCTGGACAGGGATCAGAAAGGTCTGTCTGAGATTTCCGTAACAAGACAGGTCATCCCCACCCCGGTGACACTGAGCCCACTGCCACTTCTGAATCTCCTGACGCTGGCCTCTCACCCGCAGTTCCTTTGATTCAACCTAGGATGGGGAAGACCAAGACCCAAGAATTTTGCTCTCACTGACTGCAACCACTTTATGTTTCTCTCCTCACCCTGGAGATCATTGACTCCAGCCCTGCAACTTTATAAACAAGGAGGGCACAGAGGTAGGTAGTAGTGGAGCCAGGATTCAAATCTTTCGCTTATCTGGTCCCAGGGTGTGGATGGCACACTCGGCTGAGATTTTGAAGAGACTATAGAATTGAGAGTATTTATGGAAGGGTGAGCAGGGTTAAGAGAAGCCACAGGGATGGTGAGGTGCCCAGAGACTAGTGTCAGTGGGAACTGTCAACCCCATGCTTTGTGGGAGACCAGAATTTGCTACCCCAAAATATGCCTCTTTTGCATAAGGATTGTTGAGCTAAAGGCAGTTAAGAAGTAGATGCAGGAAAGATCTCTGCCCCTTCCTGTGTTTGTCTAAAAGTGGGACATAGATTTCATAAAGACAAAAGCTGTCCCTCCACGCACTGCTACCAGGAAGAACAAGGTTAACCACTGAGGAAACTTTAAATCCTTATCGACCTGGAGATGTTTCTGGGGAATCTATGTGAACAAGCTTTACTATCTAGTCTTTATCTGCCAGTTATTTGCCTCCCCACAAGTTGCTGTCTCTAGAGACTCGAAGTCCTTTTCCTTTGTTTTGTTACTTCTCTAAAAATTTACTGTTCTTTGTTGAAGATTCTCTATAAGGTGGAGTTCAAACCATCCCCGAGAATTAATCATTCCTGTGTATCTTCTATGAAATATATGAAGTATGTATGATAGTTGAAATATGCATGTTAACAAACTTCCTTTTTTTTACCTTATTAATCTGTTTCTTTTGTTACAGGGGTCCCTTCCAACTAAGAACTTATGAGAGTTGAGGAAAAAAATTTTTTTCCTTCTCTACAGCTTGAAGGGTCAAACAAACAATTATTCCCTGAGCCCTATTGTAAACTGGAGTGGAGAGCTGCAGGTTGAGGGATACAGCCACGTACAGCCGCTGCAGGAACTTCAGCAAAGCAGTAGGACAGCAGGGGCAGAAAGTGCCCTCACCTCTTGCTCTCCCTCCCGGTGGCTGAACTCAGTGGGCACAGGGAGCGTTGGGATGCCCAGGTGATGCAGTCCATAGGTGCTGGCTTCCTGGGGCTCAGAGTGGAGCTGGGGGAGAATGGCAAATAACACACAACTGTCAACTCAAACAGACTTTTTTTTTCTTGCCACTTTCTTCTCACCTGGTCCAACTATAATAGTCAGAAAATTGGGAATCTCAATAAGCATATCTTGGAATTCTTTGTGCACATGGGGAAAGTTAGGAGGGATGCCTTTCCAGGAGTTTAAGAATTCCCTATCTACCTGGTGACACTGGGTTCATGATTTCCAAGACTCCTACTACCCAAGATGAACATGGTCCTCTGAGTAGACTTGAGGGAAAGCACATTGGCAGCCACCCAGCTCTGGTGTGTCTGTGACCAACCAGGAGTACACAGAACGCGGGATGTGGTCACCTGAAGGTGACCTGTGGCAGGGATGAGGAGAAGCTCAATTCTTCTGCAAACCAGCGAGATGAAAATAGTTCATGCTCCCTGAATGCCAACAGAAGACCCAGACTGACACTGGCTGTGACCAGACTGACACTCTGGTGGTCAGCAGCTGAAGTGGGGGTTAGACCACGGAAGGCAGAAGTTAGGTTTGTTCTTAGAACCTCTCTGCCACTCCAGGGCTGGCAAGACTAAACCAAGTGAAAATGTGGGAAAAACAAGGCTGCAGAGAATTGCTGGTGGGCTGAAAAGACAGAAAAGGTGTATCAACAGCCTGCAGGGCCTTTGCTGATGCCCCTTGTAGCTTCCTTACTCACCTATGATGGATTTATTCTGTTGGTACCTTTAGAAGACGGAGAAATTCTTGACTCTTGGCAGCACAGATGGTTTTGGTTCATTGTGGTTTCTATGGTTCACGTGCTTCCTGTGACCTGCTAAAATAGATTACTGAGTTCTAGGATTTCACATCTTCAGTTTGGGTTAAACATGGTCTGGACTAATATGATACCCACAGAAAAAGCAGTTATTATGTTCCCACTTGTTCCGGTCATGTCTTCATAATAACAGTAATGCTAACTATCTGCACTGTTTTTGTCTCAAGTAAAAAAGTAGCACAACAGAGCACAGAATCACAGCTAGAAAGCCCAGCAACTGTAAATGATTCTTGGAAAGGAAATGTCAAGTAGCAGAGGTCAGATGTGAATTGCTCTCCCATCTTCTAAGTTTACTATTGTCTCCAGGGGAACCAAGAACAGATAAGAACGTGTGATTAAAAATAGAAACAAGAAGGTCAACAAAATGGTAATTTAAATCTTTATTAGCTTAGAGTGTAAAGGTTATAGATAAGATGTTTCCATACCTTTAGGCCAAATATACTTTGGAGAAAAAGAAGTGAAGTCACGCCTTTAATACAGTTACTTGCTAAAAAGTTCTCTTAAGTGACTTGAAAAGATTCGTCTGAACCCTGTAGTAGGAAGAGAATACTGTGTTCTGTAGCCCAGATGTTTTAGACCACTCTGTGATTAAGATCTCAGTATGGCTGCCTCAGAAGTAGACTGCTCTAGGGAGGAAGGCTTGGCAGAGGGTAGGCCAGGACAGAGTACTTAGAAGGCATTTATAGATGTCCCCAGGACTTGGCAACAGTAGGTTGGGGCTGGTTCCGGGGAGTGAGAAGTTAGGCTTCACATTCACCACCAGCAACCCCCAGCCCCCACCATCTCACCAAGGCTTAGTGAGCAGAAGGGGCAGGATGAAGTTTCATTTATAACATTGTGGCTTCTGAGGTGTCCCAGGGAGGGGCACAATGCTATAGCAAACATCAGGAAACCCAGATCGTGGTCTTTGTAGGCACAGATGGCATGAGAGAAACCCACCAAGCTGGATATGGCAGAGATTCTGATTGGTGGACATGGCTGGACTCATCCTGGGTGGGCAGTGAGTGATGGTCAGAGGGAGACAGACCCTGGCTAACCATGGCTGGTTGAGGATGTGCCCAACTAGTGTTGGCTGTGCAGGAAAACCATAAACACTTGGTGGTGGGGAAAGGACAAGTGTGGGGAGGGCAACTCATTTGTAATGCAACTCAGGCATATATATTTTTATTTAAAAAGTAATACATGCTGAAAGCAAAAGTTGACTCTTTAAAAGATCATCAAAGTTGACAAACCTTTAGCTACACTAAGGAAGAAATGAGATCCTAGGTCAGGTTGGCTTCCTAAAAATAAAAATTAAAAAAAAAATGAGAGAGAAGACACAAATAACTAAAATCAGATAAGGGTAGGGACATTACTATCGAGTTTAAATAAATAAAAAAGATGATAAGAGACTACTACAAATAATTGTACACCAACACATTTGATAACCTAGATGAAATGAACAAATTCCTAGAAATGCATAAATGGCCAAAAACTGACTCAAGAAGAAATAGTAAATCTGAAAAAGAAAAAAAAGAGATTGAATCAGTATCAAAAATTTCCCAAATAAAAAAAGTTCATAACTAGATGACTTTACTGGTGATTTCTATTAAACGTTTAAAGAAAAATTAACATCAATCCTTCTCAAACTCTTCCCAAGAATGGAAGAGGAGAAGGCCGGGCGCGGTGGCTCA